ATATGCAGTAATCTAATGCCTAAAAAGGGTGACGAACGTCATTCACCAAAAGGAAACTTATAAAGTTAGTGGATAGTGATAACTTGTATTGCAGAGTTCTAAAATACGTCACTTGCCTAAAGCATTTTTTTTCCAGTAATCGAGTTCTGAATAAACCTTGGAAAATGTGAGAAGGTATAATTGAACAAAATAAATTGTCACAGGCACATGCTTATATTTTACAAGATCACTCATGCAGGTGTAAGTGGGCAACAAGCTGAGCAAACAGTGGAAAAGCCTCTTACAAAGAATATTGCTGCTTTTCCTTCAAAATTCTAAATATTGCCCCTTGTAAGCTTTTAACATGAGGTTCATGTAGATTTACTTAGCACTTCCTTTAGAAATTCCCTTTGTAAACGTCTTCAGTATTGTGAGACATATTTTACTGAAAATATGGTGGATTTTTCTGTTTAGGTTTTTTTTCTTATTTCCCCTAATTGTGAAATTTTATGGGCAAGGCAGGCAGTATTACATGATTTCCATGGTAGAAGGAAATTTTGAACATAGAGCCAAGTTGATGAAGTTTTGAAGTCAAGTTGGATTTTGCTGCTGAGGATGATGAAACTCCTTACCAAACAGGAATGTAAAATAGTCAAGATGCTGAAAGAGTCTTAAGATGGGAATGGCCAAATTCATAAGAGAAAATACTTGTGAGCTACTGGAGACTATTTTTGGTTTTGTAAATTCTTACGACATACCTTTATGTCCTGAGAAACATTATTGTTCTTGTACTTTTCTAGTCATGGCTGCTGGTCATTGCTGGTTAACACACTGTTGGATATCAGTGGATAACACACAAGGCAGAGCTTTTACCTAACCTGAATATTCTTAAGTGAATTGTATTGTGAGCTGTAATAGGAACAATGCATTCAGCACATCTGCTGTGAAAGGGGTCTCTTTCCTGCTGCTTCTTTAAGAGAAGTGCTGGAAGCATGAAGGACTGCATTTCTATGTATTGTAGCACGAATTCAAAAGTTACATCTTTTCTGCTCAAATTGCTTACTGGAGAAAAATTCCTGGGAAGTCACTGTGTCTAGATGTCTTTGTGATTGTTCAGCTGAGAGGAGGGAAGGCTTTGGGGAGAGCTTACAGCAGCCTTCCAGTCGCTAATGGAGGCCAGCAGGAAGCTGAGACAAATCTGTGTTTGTTAGCATCCACCCTATCTCTTTTGACAAAAATATTTTTGAGTTTTACTGATGTTTTCAAACTCTTATTTTTCCAGATGATGTCAATTTATGAAGCATTTGGAGTAAATCAAAGTTGTGCATTTGGGATTATGAGACATAAAAGGGACTTGGTTGAAACCATTCTGATTTTTAGTTAGTTTTCACTTTTGTTCCCTCACTTAATTTTGATGGTGCAGCCTCCTGCCTGTCACAATATACTACTCAAAAGCACTAAACTAAAGCTTTACAGCTCAAAACAGAACTATCGTGATAGGCTATTTTTATATTTGCTTATACTTATTGACTTACTCTCTTATTTTCTATTCATTAAAAATCCTGTAACTTAATACCTGTAATTTTTTACTTCAAAATTTTATTCAGCTATTAAGTCACTTCTATGCACTGTAAACAGGGGCAAGGTGAGTCTGCTTGTATGCAAAGATTAGCTATGACAGAAAACCTTGGGAATATTTTCAGTCAGAAGTGTAAGTGTTGTAGTTAATTTTTAAGGCCTCCAAAGGTCAGTATGCTTCCTGTGCAGCAGTCATGTCTGACAGTGGGACCAATATTCTCCAGAGACCTGCAATGATTGTGGAAATATTCTTGAAGACCTTGCAGATCAAAAATGGAATGATTTACATTAATAACTTTCTTATGGTTTACACAACAAGTGGATGATGAAAGACTGAAATATCTCGGTTTACTAGCTGATGTTCTCATTTCTAAGGGTCCTATGCAGGATGCGTTGATTAGTTGGCATGTGGCAACAGAAGCTAGCCAGCTACATCTCCTCTACCATGCAGGAAGACAGAATGCCACTGGCCAGATCTTTTTATTTTGGACCGAAGCTGTTCTTGATTTTGTCACTTCATAAAGTAATAGTCCCCATCCCGTAATATTTCCTTTCAAAGTGTCATTATTTGCATCAGCTCCGCTGTTTGTTTTGGTAAATATGTGGCATTAATGAAAATGATTTGACAGCCATCTTTATTTTTTTGATGTTTTGTTCAGCAGGGTTACTTAGAAATATTGCGAGAGAGAAATGATGGTGAAATGTAATGATGGCTCATCTAATATTCAATTACATATATGTCTTTCATTTTTTCACCTTGGCACCACGCCCAGCGCAAATAAATGCTTATTGTTCCTTAAATAAATTACACTGGCTCTAAACTGCTTTGCAGTTTGATACTTACAAGAATTCTGTGTTTATTTGCTGGCACAGGCTGCTCTGAAGATACTCAACCTTCTGTGTTTTGGCTTCTGTTACTTTCATTACCTTGAAAAGTAATTATGCAAATTTCACATTGTATTACATTCAGGCAGGCTTTCATTTATTTATAAACATCTCAAAATTTCAGTTTCAGGATGTGCAACTGAAAAATATCTGCACAGGATGAGAGATGGTGCTGCCTCACCACCAGTTGCTGCAATTCAGCAACAAGTGATAGATAAGCAAAATTGTCCTGTTCTTTGACTTCCTGCTTATTGAGAGGATGCAGTAAATTGGGCTGTAGACATCCAGATAGAGATAGAGATAGAGATGTTTGAAAAGAAACACAGATTTCCACAATAAAAGTATCTCCACAATAATTAATAAAATTCTTAAAGCTTTCATTGTGGGAATGACACTCATCTCTTATGATGTTGATAAGGTGTTGCCCTATTCAAGTGATCCGAGTCACTGTTTACTTTAAATAAGATTTGGAGCCTTGCTTGGCTTTTGCAGAAAAATGTGTACTGCAAATTGCATCTCATAAGAACTAGTGGGTACAGAAGGCTACTACTACCAGTAGGTAGCCAGAGGCTGCAAAGGAATTTTATATAGTTGAAACAAGCAGCAGTCTCATCCATCTACATAAAAATATACCTGGAGAAATACCAGATGGATGAGCTTCAGGGCGACTATGGACCACCAACAAAAATTCACATCCTTAAAATAGGCGTAAAATCTCACTGTCTGGGGAAAGGTTCTAAAAAGCAAGAGTATTGAAGGAACAATCAGGCTGGCTGTCTGGAAACCTCATTTAGATTTCCGCAAAAATCTAGCAGAATTTTGTAGACTGTGTGTGATATTCAGTTTTGATGATCAGGTTACTTTCAAAGCATTCAGAATTAGCTGCTTAAAATCTAATACTTCTATCATTCATTAGTATTTTTTGAAAATGCAAACCTTATTTGCCATAGGTGGCTTTTACTCCCACCTAGTGACCACTGGTGCAGAGTAGAGGGGGACAATTGCCTCCTCTCCCTGCTGGCCTCCCCTCTTTCAGTGCAGCGCAGGATACTGATAGTCTTTTGCAAGAGCACACTGCTGGCTAACGTCCAGCTTTTCATCCTTCAGCACCCCTAAATCCTTCTCAGCCCAGCTGCTCTCAGTGTACTCATAGCTGGGATAACCTTGACCCAAGAGCAACACCTTGCACTTGGCCTTGTTAAACCTTATTACATTCTCATGTACTCATTTTTAAAGCATGTCCAGGTCCCTCTGGATGGCATCCCTCCCTTCTGTTACGTCAGCAGCTCCACTCAGCTGAGTGTCATCAGCAATCTTGCTGAAGGAACACTCAGTCCTGTGTTGTTGATAAAGACGTTGAAGTATACTGGTTCTAGGATAGGCCCCTGGGCAGCACTACTTGTGACTGGCCTCCACCTGGGCATAGGGTGATTGATAACAACGCTTCAGCCATTTCTTTATTCACCTAATAGTCCAGCCTTCAAATAATCTCTCTCCGGTTTAGAGATAAGAATGTGATCTGATGTTAAATGCTTTGCACAAGTCCAGGTAGATGACACTGGTTGCCCTTTGTCCACTGATGCCATCACTCCATCATAAAAAGCCACCATATTGGTCAGGCCTGATGTGCCCTTTGTGGAGCCATCCTGGCTGTCCCAGATCATCTCCACGTCTTATAAGTGCCTTAGCATCTCTTCCAGGAGGTTCTGTTCTATGGTCTTCCCAAGCACAGAGATGAACCTCACTGGCCTGCAGTTCCTGGGTAGATTACCATGTGGTTGACATGGCTGAAGTTAAAGAAAGGATACCCTGAAACATCATTGCTGATCAGAAAAGAACATTACTTATTACTCTTGATCACTTAAACACAGGAACCTCCTGTGGATTCAGTAACTCCTGCTCTGACTTCTGACTTTATTTGTAGCTACTTTAAATAAATTGATACTATGCATCTCACACAGGTGACCTTCATAATAGTCAAGTAAAGCTGACTATAATTAAGAGCATAAAGTTGTAAAGTTCTGTCTGCCTGCATTTTTGTGTTTGCTGTCCTACCTACTGTTAGCTTTGTTGTATGCATGCATGCTGAGTGAGGCCGAGACAAAAAAACATGTACTTACAAAGCAACATTTTGCAGTTTAAAGGTACGAAAAACTTGATATAGCCTCCTGTAGCTCTCTGAACTAGTACCAAGTGGCCTCAGAGGTAATAACAATTGTAATGTTACCTTACTGTGCAAATATCTCATTATTGTCTTTGAAACTGTGCAGTTCCCTCAAGTAGATTGATCAGTTTTTTACTATATTTTTATGTAAAGCATAGGGGTTTTTTTTGTTTTTTTTTTTTCTTCTTTTTTTTTAAAGGCCTTATTGCTACAATTAGAAAAAGGAAACGTAATGAAAAAGGTGTATTTTTATTATTATAATTTACTAGGAAGCAGTAAGTCTGAAGACTCTTAGGTTTTAGGTTGGTGACTTTGTTGAAAAAGGGATTACTGCAAGGCATACGTGTATTCTTTTTGCTGCTGTTGAACCAGAAATCCTGCCTTTGTTTGCTGTCTATCTCTTCAGTGTTTGCTGAGTACCCTGCATACTATTCTCAGTCCTCCATCTGTCTTGGATTATCTTGTGTTCACCTGAAGTAATTATCTGCAAGTAAAATACAAGAATTTATTAAATTTCAGCATTTGTTATTTTGGGAATCAGATTTAATTAGTGTCTATTTTCAAAAGAACTTGCCATTTACAGATGCATTTTCAAAGCTGCCAAGAGCTGATTTAATCTGTGTTGATCTTTGGGAAGTCTAAGTACCTATATTTGAGAAGAAATGGAAATTGAACTCTTCTAAAAATCTTACATTGAATATGAGCAGACAACAGCAAACATTTGATAGTGATTTGTACATTGATTAATTAAAGGGGTGGACAGACTGACAAATAGCTGATTTTGAGGAAGCTGTGATTCATCTGTAGGCCAATGGCCATGACACTGGGCTATGAAGAGAGAAGTACTTCCCACGTTTTAGGAGTTCCTTCATTCCTAAAATTACAGATTATGTTTTTCCATTTTGCTTGTGAAGCCTGCACGCAGACTTAGGAAATCTGATCCTCAAGTTAAATATCAAAATATATTTGAATAACCTGTTTTGTGGAATTCAGTGTTTCAGGGTGCTAGTGGCACAGCATCAACTTTTCAGTTTGGTTTTTTCAAAAAGAAAGTATGTATATAAGTCTGTTATATATCCTGTTTCATTTCCTTTTGCTATGGAACTCTTCTGTAAATTACAACAAATGTTATGTGAGTTTGTGTTTCTCTGGGATATTAATGACTGTGCTGCATAAAGAAAGAACAATTTTCAAAAGAAGGAATCAATATGGCAATTGTCAGATAAAAACAAAGAATACTCTGTTTTAAGTGTAGGAATTGTAGCAGACTAAGAAGCTATCATTTATCATTAGACCATGCCAAGTAAGTAGGATGTCTGAATGCTGTTCCAAAGTCCAAAACTCTTACTCTGTACATGTGAAAAGGGGCAAGAGTCTTGGACGGGAACAGCACTTAATGAAGTGGACATAGGGAGAACACTTTAAAATGTGGTTGGAATCCTAGACTGGCACCTACCCTTCTCATGCAACTGCTTTTTTAATGCACTAAAATTTTATCACGAAAAAGGCATTAACAAGTATGGTTTTTTTTTTTTTTTTTTTTTTTTTTTTTTTTTTTTCCCCTTAGCAAGAAAAAGATTGTATCAGCAAGAAATTTGGGATGCAAAGAATGTTAAATTGAGTTCAGTGTCTCAAATTTGGAGGACTTTTTGAAAACTTTCCTACTCTTTTTAACTTCTACCTTTTTAATACTTTTCTTTTTCTTCTAAAACCATGGTAAAGGAGCTTCATGGCCAAAGTTGTCAAAGAATATTCTTAGTTTTTGTTTGGTTCCTCTCTCCCTTAATTATTGCCTTCTCTTTCTAGCATGAAAGTTTTTTGAATCTAATTCTTCATGCTTTTGTTCTACGTGTTCAGAGAGATCAGTGTAAAGACTGTTTCAGACATGAAGTAGTATTAATATTTATGACTATGTGTCTGTAATCGTAACACGATCTCTGTTAGAAAAAAAACAACTGAGAAACATTCTTCATAGGACAAGCAATTACAGCTAGGATGAACAACGTATGGAAAAATCTAGTGTAACTATCAGCATTGCTTACCTAGATAAGTGTATAGGAATCTTTTATTCAGGTAGCATTCTTTGTAAATGGATGGAAAAAAAACCCCACACAAGTATGGAGGCAAGAATGTTAATATAACTCTACAAAACATTGGAAGAATATACAATACCTTACAACTCTCACTCCATTCTCCTTGACCACTTTTATTGACAGCACGGACTTTGAAAAGATATTCTGTATTTGAATCCAGATTACGTATCTCAAGGTTCTGCTGCTGTATTTTGCTTAGCTTGCCGTCCAGTTGTGTGCAGACAGTGTTATCAGGACCAATACCAACAACTTCATAAAATTCTACCTCAAAGAAATCCACATCTTCTATAGGACAAGTCCAGTAAATCTGTAAAGAGAAAAAAAAATCTGTAGAACACCATTATGTGCCATTTTTGCTGATTTTCACTTTTGCCTTTTTTGAAAGGCTCTAGATTAGCAGATTTTAGTTTTAAAATGCTGAAGCAGCTGAAATTCTGTGTTTGTAAGATACATGTTGGGAGATAAGCACCCTCCTGGGAATTTCATAGTGCTGTCTTCTAACACATTAGAGTACCGAAGGCTGGCAGCAGTTGGTCCTTTGCAACATGCTCTTTTGATCTTATGCAACTGGCATCCTGTCCTTGTTAATATCTCTAATATATCATGAGGAAAATTACATAGACATACGATGTCGCATTTCAAGGCCAAGAACAAGGGTCAAATAGTTGGTCTGACATACAGATATTTAGATGCAAACATAGTAGTACATCTATTTCTTGCTGCAGTGGACCATTCCTTTTAAGATATTTATGACATATAAAATAATATAACAACATAATTTAATATGGTAGGAAAGTGATGCAACTCAGTTTATACTTCATTTTATCTCTATAGGCAAGTTTAAAATGCATACTCTCCTATGCAAACGAAGCGTTTGGTATTGTAGTCTTATTTATTCAAACTAAGAGCCTGAAAACATAGTGGTAATAGTTAGTAATTGCGTATATTTAGGATTTATTAGTGACTTACTTTGGCAGACCTTGGGTAAACAACAGTCTGGTATATAACAACAGGTCCTGGCGCTGGGAATGATTCTTTTTCCATAGGTTCTGAACTTGGAAAGTTAACAATCTGATATTTCCTTTGTTTTCTTGAAGTTTCACAAGCTGCATCCCAAAATGCACACATTTTATTACTCTGTGTAGAATGATGGGGAGGTGTAGAGTTTGGTCTCCCAAGAGTGCTTTCAATTGGCATGCCTAATTCAAGCAAGGAATTTAAGGATGCGCTTTGGAGCATTGTTGATTGCTTGGCTTCATGAATGCTTGAAACATGCCTTGGAACCATTATTTCTGGGTTAAAAGAATAGGGATGCTTGTCTGCTTTACTTTCTAACTGTTTTGTTTCACTAAGGGTTGGTGAAAATCCCTGTAAAATGGCAAACAGTTCATCAAATTTGAATTGCAGTTTCCTTAAGGGATCTTCTCGGATATGTGGGCTAGGCTGGAAAATGGAAGGAATTGCATCTTCTATTTCTTTCACCAAACAGTGTGCAGATTGCAGAAATACAACTTGACTTTCCTCCTTAAGAGCCTCTTCAGCATACTGGATAAGGCCATCCATATATGAGAGCTGGCTGAATGTATAGTTTACGTATTCTGAAATGTCTTTCTGTTTTTTAAGTTCGGTGTTTTCAAGCAACTCCATCATCTCTTTTTCTTGTTCATGTAGCACCGTATGTAGTTTTAAGAATCCATTTCTGATCTCCTTCCTTTGGAGATCCTTGGAGGCTTGGAAATTATTTTTTAGCAGGGTAACTTCCATTAGATCATTATCAATTCCTTGGCGTGCTGAAAAACAAAACAAAATAAACGACAAACCTGCGGTCAGTAGTTTCAACTTTATATTAGAATAAAGAGGTTACAAGAGACAGAGCAATAGGTTGTAGTTTAAAGAAATTTCAGGTTTGGTAGAACATGGGACAAGTGAGAATTCAGTATTTTTCTCTCATCTCTACTGCTAGGGAGCTCCAAGGGGAGTTGCTTGGGTTAAAATTTTCATATTTGGATGTATGAGAGTCAGGTAGCTTAATTGCTCCTTGATTATTATTCCTTCACTTATTTATCATTCCCTAAGATGGGCTTGATGATTTTTAATTAATTACATGGGAAATCCTGAAACTTGATTTATAGTAACTGTGTATTATTTTTGGAAATTCACTATGTCAGTAGCAAGCTAAAATAATTGTAGCAAATGTGACTGCGTAGACCTCATTATGTCTGTGGCTGACAGTAGATTCCTCTGATAGCCATTATATGAAGGTATGATTTATTCTTCTGACACTAAAAATTGAGAACTGTGAGAGAACAGAATCAAAAACACCAGAGGCTGGCAGTAAATTTTGCTGGAGTGCAGCTAACATTTTGAAACAATGTCATATTACAGAATCCCGTACAAATATTCTGTATTTTACTTTTTGAACTTTAAGACTGTTATGAGAATGCAAATTGAATACTTCCAGTTATTTCTCACTGCATGTGGTTCACTTTTACCTTTCTAAATTTTATTTTCTGTGCAACTTCATTTGTCCCCAGCATTTATGATGTTATATGCAAAAATCGAAATATTTAAAAGAAATTCATAAAATCTCAGTCTCTGCACAGTCACTCAGTTGCTATGGATGAAATCTTAGATAAAAGGAGGGACACTGCTGTGGTTCCTCAGAACAATGAGGCTGTCTTGCCTCTTAATGAGCATGGGATTATTGAGCATAATCATAATACTGACTGAAGAGAGACAATCCAAAATTTGACTGCAGGGAAAAAGGCGTGCACGTCTGATTTTAAAAATGCAAATGTAATTGGTGGCTGTTTCACGCTGGATCTCACAGTATAAAGTGGAGTTTCTTATACCTAGATGCGCTTTTCTATTCCCATCTCACATACAAATCCTCAGTTCTCTAGTATTTGAATCTGGCTCATGGTGCTGTGCAATTAAAGACTTGTTTCCTTTATGTTTTTACAGTGGGAACAGTTCACGTTTCTGTCTCTTGTTATGTGCAGAGAATTATCACGGCTCATCAAGTGTATGTGCAAGTATCTTTCCAGAGAAGGCACAGGGAAGTGTAAGAAGCAGCAGAAATACAAACCTTGTTTAAATTTTACAATTGTATTGGAGAGAGAAGCAGCCTCTCTTGAACATGCAGCTGCCAAGGGAATGGTCTCATGATCACTGTGCAGCGAATTCTTGCAAAAACCACAGATCAGTTTGTGGTCATCCAGACAGTATTCTGAGAGGTGTGAGTTGCAGTGCAGTAAGCATGCCCACTGTTCGTTATCTTCGTGACACGTGCTGGTGAATATGTGGTCTTGAGCACCACTCTCAGTATGATATAAATGCAGACATTCACTGCACATGTTAATTCCACATGTTCTACATCTTTTAGTTGCCACTCTTCTTCTCTCCCTGCAAGTTTCGCAATAGACTGGTCTTTCACTGTGGTCAAATCTCCATTTCAGAATGCCGTGTCTGCGCATGTATTTCTTGGCCAGTTTTGCTTTAAGGTAATTCTTCCTCAGCTGAATTTTGTTTGTGTTAGGGAGACAGTGAGCTTTGTTACATACTGGGCATATGATGATATAATAGTTATCTGTTGCTTCAGCTTTGGTCTTGGTTTTTATTATGCATTTCTCACAAATGCAGTGATTGCATGGCAGCATAAGCGGCTGGAGAAATAACTGTTTGCACAGTGGACAGGCAAGCTGATCACGAAAAGCCTGGTTGGAGCCTTTCCTTTCTGGTACACTCACACGTGCTTTATTTCTAGTTCTTAATCTTGACATGACATCTGTTAACCTAAAGAAAATAAAATTGAAAAAGAAAAAAGCAAATAAATGAAAATAAAAGACAGAATATTAGTGTACAATCTAAGAAACAGAATGATAAAATAAGCAGTTCCACCTTGCATGCCAACCATCCTTTTATTCTGACTGGGTATTTTATTTAAACAATTGGATTAACAATGCTAAGAATTCATTTTTTAAAATTTTCATAACTATTTCACTATATTTGAATGCTGTTGCAAACAATGTGCGTAGGCAGAAATCTTAATCTCGTCAAGTCTCTCTGAATTTGTTGAGTTACTGCTGGTGTCCTCTTAAGATAACAACCCACATTTACATATGATCATCCTAAATTTGAGTCATTTGAAAAATCACCCATTCATGATTTCTGATTTTTAAAATAAATGGAGATTATTCTTAGTAGCAGTCTTATGTCATTAAAATTTAAGCAATTAATATGAAAGAATCAAAATTTGGATATTTTTATTAAAATTAGAATAATTATTTAATTTTGGTAATAATTTTTTCTCTGTGTTCTCTTCAAATCTTTATTTCCTAGCTTTCCTCTTAGCCTGTGGACATTGTTGTATAAAAAAGTGTTACTTTAATAATGATTCTGACTGTTTTGTATATCCTTGGCAAAGAGCATCATTATTCAGGATGTACACCTGATTCTGGGACACTACAGTCTGGCCTTCTGCCATGCTTCAGTTTAGCATCCGTGTTTCTGTGTTGGTATTGCTTTTCTTCCCATCTACTCTGCCCAGATGTTCAGCCATGCTATTTTTCTTCTTGTCACTCTAGAGAATGGTAGAGAGGGGGAAAAAAAAAAAAAAAAAGAAGCCTTTTTTCTGCTTCTAAAAAAGAATGATATCCTGTGGTTTGAAATAGCTCCAATGAGCTACTAGATTATATGCTCCTAAATGCAAGACATCCATTAAGATGTAATGAAAATTAGAAAAATAGGAACCTAAGAAATTAAAAGCCCTTGATCCCACTTACTGAACAGTCCCTGGTGCTCTTGACTGCTGTTGGTCATAGACAGATTTTCCGCAGCATTTGCTTGCATAGTATTGGCATGCTGAATTCTCTCCACCACAGCAGCAGCATTTGCAGTCTGGGTCATTTGAGCAAGAGCAGCAGCACCACCAGCAATTTGCGTGCTCTGAACATGAGCAGTGGCAGCACTGGTAAGGTTTGTCTTCTTCGTACGGGCATGGGAAACAGCTGCAGTTCTGCTCACTGGTAAATAGGAAGCGCCAACACAGGCAGCATTCCTTCTTTCTTCTGTGGCAAGTTAGATAACAGCAGTTTGAGAAGCATGGGCAGGCTGAAAAGGTACATCCATTTTCATCCATCTTTCCATTATACAGCTGAAAGAAAGTTCATTTATCCTTTTAGCTTCTCTGTAAGCTATTGCAGTTGGGCTCCTACAAGGCACGAGGTCTGACTTGAGGGTCAAGGTCTGTGCTGTAGGCAATGCACGTTGTTCTAAATGGAATGTGATGTCACAGTGATGCATACAAATAAGGACACAGGCAGAATTCTATAAGCACGTTTATACACGTTTTATACATGCTTAATATGCTGATTACAACATCTATATATCATGATACTTATAATTGTTTTTGAATTCCTAGGCAGCATTTACCTCTCTCTCCATTAATAGCATGAGTAGTTCATGCACTTGGATTAGCTATCCCAAGGCAACATCTTGTCAGGGCTACATGCTTTACAGTCATTTTGTTAGCTTCAAATATAGCTACCACACGTAAAGGAAACGTACACTTGAAATGCATTTACAAGTATATCCTTTTACCTGTAATTTTTTTGCCTGCCAGTGTTGATGCACTTGAACAATGTATGGTATTTGATCCTCTGAGACTTGGGAAAAGGAACTATGCTTGGAGCACAAGTTCAATGCTCAATCACAGTGGACCTGCATTTTTCTTGACTCCAAGTGTGCTTCTTCACCTCCCTTAACCTGACCACTCTCCTATAAACGCGATATCAGGCCTAATTCTTTAATTACTTCATATTAAGCACCTTTTTCTTTTTTTGTTTAGTTAATTTATTTGAAGATTTACATAGTATTTTTGTCTATTTGCAGAGATTATAATTTTAAATAAAAATGAAATTGTTGTAAAGAATACGTGAACTTCTCAGAAGTGTATAGTAGTTTACTGTAATGATAATCTAACTAAAACGAGCCCCCCACTAAGTTGTCTGCAGCTGACATCTGAAAGAGCATGTTCTCTTACTGGAAACTTTAGGACGGTGATGTCTGTACGATACATACTCAATAATGCTACCTTTTAAAAGTGGCTGCTGTACTTTATGTATCTGAGTTTTTTTTCTGAAATTTAGTAATTCAGCTTATGATAATGTGTTAATGTATAATTGGGAATTACTGAAATGGGTCTTCACATAGTTTATTGTAAAAGCTCCTTTGATCCTATTTGCTGAAAGTCTGTTCTACTTAAAGAAAATTTACTTTGTTGATTCAGAGCCTTACAGACTACAATGGCTGTGTCATTATGTGCAGCCATCTACATGGATGGGCCATAATGGGTTCTTAGCAATGGCTATAGTCTGTCAATCAGATTTTCACACAGAAGTATTCATACAGTGTGCTGAATGGTATAGCCTAGACATTCAGTGGATGTTGTTTCTGCCACTTGTCTTTCTAATTTTATCAGCAGTAAGACTTTTTTGCCGTGCATATTTAATTTTATCAGATTGAATGGCTTTCGCATTCAATTAGTAGGAATATATCTTGTGATGCGTGTCTGTTTTTCTTTAGCAAATGTGTTCATTATGAAATATGGTGGTTTTTGTTTTTTTGTGTGAGAAAGAAAGCTGGTAGGGTAAGAAAAGAGGAAAAAAAAATATTAGTCGTGTGTCCCATATGCTAATATTTAGTCAATGTTTTCCATTTTGGCATAATACAGAGGCTAATAGCAACTTGTATCATTCTTAGGAACATATACCTATTGATCCATTGGTTCACTGATTCTCTGTGAGTTGTATTTTTCTACTTTGTCTTAGACTTCTGTGGCTACATTGCCCCATGTAATTCCCCTAAACCGTCTTCAGTGCTCCAGGTTTTTTGCTTACTTTACACTACCTGCCTCAGCAACTTGGTACCTGTGTTGCTCAGTCTGCAGGTGATCATCTCTTTAACTCTGTGTAGGCATACACCCAGTTCTAAATTGGTCTCATTTCATTAGTATGTTTATTCTTCTCTAACAAATATTGAAGGATGAAATCAGACTGACTGATTGAATTAGATGCAGTAGCCTCAACCATACTGCCAGACTTCTAGTAGTGTTTGGAGACACATTTCTCCCTATTCATGCTTCTCTGTGATCAGTTCTTATGATAGCCAGGCTGTGATGTGTTTGACTTAAACCAATGAGAGATTTATTTAAAAGCAGGGTACTTTTCCATATGGCAATTTATCTTGCTCTGTTGTGTTTTCCAAGATAAGCCTAACATTGTTGTTTTCTGTGTGAAATAGCATGGACATGTTCTACACCAGTCGTAAATTAGAAATCAGGTGTTTGAATCAAGTTCTTAATTGTGTTTTGTCACTAAAGTGGAGAACTAGATTACCCTGCATTATCCCTATCTTTATGTCCCGAATATGATTTCTTTAGCAAATATTTGTTCCTCTTTCTGTTGAGTATAACGAGGCATCTCATGTCTGTGCTCTCACTAAGTTTATTGCCTTGCAGTTCTTTGTATTTCCATCAAGAGAATGAGTAAGGGAGCAAGCAAAAGACATTTTTTTCCTATGTCCTTGCTTCACGCAAGAATGTAGAGGAAGTACTGTCCTGACAAATCTGAAAATCTAACTTCTCCTGCCTTCATGTGCTCCTTTAGGCGTAAAATGAGCTTGTAAGTCAGGGGCAGAAGGAAGAGAAACTAAACCCTCGGAAGCGTAAGGGGTGACCTTTCCCATAAAACCATACAGACCAGCAGGATTCACTCTCTAAAGATTATATAGCAGTTCTTTCAATAAATTGCAATGATTTAAGAGATTAATTGACTGCACTACATAAAAATGACTGGTTGGGGGCTGTGGTGGTAGCGTGTTAGGTTTAAATGAAATAGGAGAAGCATGATGTGATACAATCCAAAACTGATCCATTACAGCTGAGGGTTGCTTTTGAAAGTATTGTTTCTGGCTAGCTGTGGTTTGCCAACAGCAACCAGTTTTTTCGTAAGAAAAATCCCTGTATCTAGTATTCAGTCTTTTCACCATCACTGTAAAATATGTTGCAGATCAATTTCTGCATGGTGGGGCTGCCTAGGAAATTGTGCGGTTTTAGAATTGATGTTCTTTCCTTGTTTTTCCAGAGCTTCGTTGTTCCCTTTCCGCTCAACCCTTCATTTGTAGCCAACTAGCAGAAATGTGTTGATGATTATATTGAAAAAAGAGTTGAGGAATAGGAATCTCTCCATCTCTTTTATGTTGAAAGGTTGAGGTGGTTTAGCTGCTACTTAGGAACCAGCAGACAGCTGAGTGGCATGATCATTTGCGGTTAAGATTAGCAGCTGATACAGCAAAATAGCAACAAACACACAGTAAACTTAAAGCTTCTTCATTCTTCTCTAAAGCTGTGGAGGAAATATATCACGCTGAGCTCTTCGTATACCTTTACTCACAGATGAAGAAATATACAGTTGATAAATTTTCTTTTACTAATTTTCACTTACATATACAAGAGAGATAATCTAATTTATACATCATCACTCCATAACTTAGTATTACTAATGTCTGCTTAATAGTCATTCGGATTCTCAAAACTATTTCTGAAATACTGTGCACAACAAAAGACTCACTAATGGCATTTTGTGTATTTCTTCATTGAAAAAGTTAGCTGCGATCACATAGTCACACAATTAGTGCCAGCCACATACAGCTAAGAACTATACAGAATACTAAAGAAAAAAGTAAGTTGTTTTACATTTATATAAACTGGGTATTTTCGAAGTATCAAGGTTTAATAAAGTTCACTGAAGGAACACCTGTAATAATGACAGGAGTTTTACAAGTTCTCTTTTGAGAGCTTGTGAAAGATAATGGAAAAGGTGCTGGACAAGGAGAAGGTTTAATGCTACACAAACTAGAAGAAAATCTAAGAAATCTTACTTAGATGAGAAACCTTTACCTTAAAATGAAGGCTTTTGAGTGACTGCATGCTTAACAAATCATAGTATTTCATGCCCTTTTGCACAGATCTCAAATTGAGTAAGTGAAGGATAAAAAATGCCTTAGATGATGTATTTGTCGTAGACACTAAAAAATTTCAATGGCATACAGTTACTGCAGTCTGCATGCAGAGTCTTTCACAACTTTGTTCTCATTCCTGTTTTGTTTAGCCTTGTTGCTTTCATGTGTCACTGTCATAATGAGAATTTTTTCGTTCTGTGGCTCAAAGAAAAGCTTGGGAATGCTACATAATGACTGAAAACACCAGATCTGTATTATATATCTACCCTTTCCCAGCTGATCTGGCTGCAACCTTCATGTATTTGTTCTGGTGTCTGCTTGTGTCCCCTCAACCTAATGTATTTGTTGCTGTTCTGGGTCACTTTCAGTTCCCCTCCCACTCCCTGTCTGGGGGCTCCTCCTCACGTTCCGATTTTGTGAGCTGGCTTTTTCCCAGGATACAGATGTTCATCTCCTTAACATGAGGGTTTATGTTGCTATCGCAGTGAGAAAGATGATAATCAAATATTTTTGCTTGAGTACTTCACCTGAGTCCTAGCATAAACACTGGCAGCTGCAAACAAATGTATGTAAAGGTTAAGACATAAAAACTGCTGGACCACATAAAAGTGACTATATGGTTGCAAACCAAACTTATTTGTGTTTTTTCTTTTTAAAAATATATAAAATGCTGAGATAATTAAATATAAATTTGTTAAACCATATTTGGTTAAAAGGAAAAAAAAAATCAACAAAAATTCGCATTGTCTGGGAGAAGAGGGGAAATACCACTGAGATGAGTGGAGTTGGGAAATAAAGGCTTCATGGATTTAGGCAGTGGATTATATAGGGAGCTAAAGCTGCTATAAGCAGAAGTTCTGTACTGTTGTGGAAGGATTCAAGTTTTTCCTTCATCCCTAAGAAACCAGCTGAGAAGATTTATAATAAATGTTAAAAAAAAAAAAAAAAAAAAAAAGTGCTTTTTTAGGAACTCATGATGAGGAAAATAAAGCTCCTGGCATGATGGTTTGCAATTAAGATTAGCAGCTGATAAAGCGAAAGAGCAACTTTTCCATAACTATGAGTGTAAACACTTCATATTTGATTGAAACCTGAGGGAAGTGTTTTCTGCTTGTATGC